GGCAATCACTTTTTCACACAGGGCCATGTAGGTTTGGATTTTTTTTCCCCCTTAATAATAAAAATCTTCATTTAAAAACTGCATTTTGTGTTTACTTGTGTTATCTTTGTCTAATATTTAAATTTGTTTGATGATCTGAAACATTTAAGTGTGACAAACATGCAAAAAAATAAGAAATCAGGAAGGGGCAAACACTTTTTCACACAACTGTATGTATATTACAACACTAATGCTAATCACTGGCATACACGTAGCTAGCTCTAATGCTAATCACTAGCATACACGTAGCTAGCACTAATGCTAATCACTGGCATACATGTAGCTAGCTCTAATGCTAATCACTGGCATACATGTAGCTAGCACTAATGCTAATCACTGGCATACACGTAGCTAGCTCTAATGCTAATCACTGGCATACATGTAGCTAGCTCTAATGCTAATCACTGGCATACACGTAGCTAGCTCTAATGCTAATCACTGGCATACACGTAGCTAGCTCTAATGCTAATCACTGGCATACACGTAGCTACAAGAGTCCATACGGTATTTTGTTTTTATAAGACTTTACAGCAGTTTTACGTAACCACAATCATAACAGTTAGCATGCTAACAATTAGCATTAGCGCTTGTGGTTTGCATAAGCTAATTGAAAGGGTAAAGGCCATCATGAACTGTAGGTTTAAAAACAGTTAGTCTGTCTACATGTTCAAGGCAACTTAGGGAAAGATCAGCAACTGATCTGTGGCATGAAAACATGGTGGCATTAGCATGCTAGCTAGCTACTGTGGTCTCTAAAATGTTTTTGACGTGCAGGTGAAGAGTCCTCCGAAGCTGCGTCAGGTGGGCGTGTTCTTGGACGTGGATGAGGGTCAGGTGTCCTTCTATAATGTGAAGTCGGGCTCAGAGATCTACAGCTTCACGGGATCCTCTGAGTTCACCGAGAGGATGTTTCCTCTGCTGGGGACCGGAGACAAAGAGGTCCCCCTGGTCCTCATGACCTCACAGCACCAACTGGCCTGAAGGACCAGGAAATAATGACAGAAGACAAATATATTTACTGAGTTTATTGTTACAAAAAGTGGGTTATTTTTTCATAACAGATCAAAGTTTAAATATTTGCTGAGATTCACTAATTAAATGAAGACATGAGATGCAATAAATAATGAATTAAGGCTCATATAGAAATGTTTGATGTCATAAAACTTTGACTTATTTCATGTTACCTGTAATGAGTTGACTCCGCCCTCTCACCTGCCAGCCAATGGGGATGATTCTCAGAAGACACCTGTGTGATCCGTTTTTATGTACATGAGCAACATTTGATTAAAGCTGTTAATTAAAGATAAACGTCACAAATGATGCCGACTCTTTAATGACTGTGGACAAAAAAAATAGTTTCCCTTGAAAGGTGGAAGCAAAGCGATCGACGGCCATTGTTGTGGTTCATGACGACGTCACCTTTTTGTTCTGGGTCTGAACTGGTTCCATTCGTTGATTTAGTGAAATCTTAAAACGTCTAAATTAACTTGATGAACAACAGAAATCGTTACAATTAATCGAGTTTATATTTTATTTAACATAAATCATATTGCAGTCAATGTGAACAGCCGGGGTTTTAATATACACAATAGAATCGTAACATTTTAAGCCCCTCCCCTCTGACCCCACCCACAACGTACCCCAATGAAAACCAAAAGCCCCCCCATAAACCCCACCCATCCACCCCTTTAAACACTGACCACACGACGCTCCACCCCCTGACGCTCGGTGTGTTTGTGTGATTTAGCAGCAAACTCCAAACTGACTTGCCTCAGTTCTAATTCACCTCCACCAGCCAATTAACAGCATCATGTGACCAACCACAGATCAGGTCAAACAAGCCCCTCCCCCTTCAGGGATGTCGTGACATCACCAGCTGTTGAGTCACCGCAGGCTTGAAAACTATCAAGAACTATTTAAGGCGCACCTGCTCCCATGATAAGCTCCTCCCAGACAACTCTGAAGCCCCGCCCCTCAGCACTGACATCACTACACTTTCAGCCGTCGATTCATCGCAGGTTGAAAAAAGTTGCCGTCAAACTTTAAGGAACTTTTAAGGAATGTCTGATTTTGTCACAACCAGCCCCTCCCACTGATGTCTTGCCATAAGGGAAACTTTTGTTTTGAGGGACTTTTTAAGGCTCTTGATGGGACTGTAAGCCCCTCCCACTGCCATTAGAAGCCCCTCCCCACTGTGTAAAGTCACTGCTGGATTAATATTGTTTAACTAGTTTCTTGGAGAACAGCAGAGCGCAGTGACTTCCTGAAGTCTTTGTTGCCAATCAACGGTTTGTTAAGAAACGGCGTTTGTTGGAGAGTTTGGAGTTTGCTGACATGCAACGAACGAACACCTGGAAGCGTGACGGAGAGAGGGGGCGTGTCCTCCTGAGGGTGGGGGGGGCGTGTCCTTCTGACCACCTGTCTGTCTGATGCAGGTATCTTCGCCACACAGCAAATAAAAAAGAAAAGAAAATCATATCATCATCAACTTACTCGAGCAACACTCACTAC